TATTTATTTATGATAGACATAGACAGAGAGAGAGGCAGAGACACAGGAGGAGGGAGCAGCAGGCTCCATGCTGGGAGCCTGATGTGGGACTCGATCCCGGGACTCTAGGATTGCAGCCTGGACCAAAGGCAGGCGCTAAACCGCTGAGCCACCCAGGGATCCCCTGCCTTGGGCTCTTAAGAAAGTCTTGAGCCCCATGATGGGGGCGTCTGCGTGGCTCAGACACTTAAGAATCTGACTTTTAATTTCAGTTCAGGTCATGATCTCCCGGTCATGGGACTGAGCACCACATCTGGCTAGGTGCTCAGCGAGGAGTCTGCTTGAGACTCTCTCCCTTTCTCTCTGCCGCTTCCCCTCCTCTTTCGTTCTCTTAGAAAAAAGAGAAAGAAAGAAAAAGAAAGAAAGAAAGAAAGAAGAAAGAAGAAAGAAAGAAAGAAGAAAAAAGAAAAAAAGAAAAGAAAAGAAAGAAAAAAAGAAAAGAAAAGAAAAGAAAAGAAGAAAAGAAAAGAAAAGAAAGAAAGAAAAGGAAAAAGAAAGAAAGAAAAGGAAAAAGAAAGCCTTGAGCCCTATGGGACTCTACTGGTCTGTCCAATAGAGAACACTTCACTCACATTGACACTCCACCAGTTTGGTCACTGGTATCTATTTAGCATGGGAGGGCAGGGGGCATGGTTTGAGTGTGTTAGGGTTTTCCAGAGAAACAGAACTAATAGTGTGTGTGTGTGTGTGTGTGTGTGTAGGGAGGGAGAGAGAGAGAGAGAGAGAGAGAGAGAGAGAGAGAGAGAGAGAGGAGAGAGAGAGAGAGAGAGAGAGAGAGAGAGAGAGAGATTTATTTTAAGGAATTAGCTCGGGAGATTGTGGGGTCTGACAAATCTGAAATCCATAGGGTCTCAAAGGCTGGAAACCCCGAAGAGAGCTGCTGTTCAGCTTGAATCTGAAAGGAGGCAGAATTTCCTCTTCATTAGAGAGCCTCAGTCTAGTCTCTTAATACTGTCAACTGATGGGATGAGGCCCACCACATCATGGGGAATAATGTGATCCACTCAAAGTCTACTGATTTGAAGCTCATCTAAAAAAATGCCTTCATGGCAACATCTAGTCTGGCGTTTGAACAAACATCTAGGTATAATGACCCAGTCAAGTTAGCACATAAAATTAATCACCACTCTCCCTTACCCAATATCTAACTGGGATCTACTCAGAGAATAACCTAGAATCTGCAGAGTTATGGGTAATTGAGTGGTTTATAAACTGAAAGAAGACATTCAGAGAAGCGTCAGCTGGAACCTGGCCTTGTGTAACTTCCTCATCACCCTTGATTTCGAGAAAGGGCATCTGCAAAGGTGCCTTGTTATCAGGTTTGATGGCCATGCTCAGTTGTCCCCTGGGTAGATTTAGTAAATGTGATTCCCCAAGGGAACACAAATTCTACAGTCAGACAGGACCATCTCTCCTCATTTCACTTTGTGTGCTGCTCTATGCATCCAGCCAGAGGCTGTCAGACAGCAGCCTCCACATTTGCTGGGAAGCTGGAGACCAAGATTTTAGGTCTGTGGTGAGGGAAGTGAGGGTAAGAGGAAAATAGTGGCTGAAGGAGGAGAAAGTTTCTTTTTACGAGTGCTGATCCTCATGTCCCCTGCCCACATTAACAATGTACTGCCGAAATCTTAACACTGTACATTCCATTTTCTCTCTCGAGATCCAAGGCTAGGCTTTGGTGACATTAGCATGAACACTTCCTTCTACAGAAAGATGCCAACTCTTCATCACATTATTGCAACGGCCGCTGCCTGTTAGTCCTGGGTCCCTAAAGAACACATGGGCGAACCCCCTCAAGGGTGAGAACAGGATTCAGGGAGGACCTGGGGTCCTCTATGTGGCTCCTCTCTCATATTTATGCTTGGGTTCCATTTCCAGCTGGCCTATTTATTCACCTCTCAGTGCACCTACTTGTGGTTGAAGTATCCAAAGAGATATGGTCTGCAGCTTTGTGTCACAGCAGGCATGCCGAGTGCTGGGGAGCAGACAGGCTACAGCCACAGACACCATGGCACCTCGTGAGCAGAAGTGACAGAAGGAGAAGGGGGCAGGAAAGGCAATGGGCTCAGACCACCAACCATTGCTGCCACCCAAAACAAGAGGCTAACCTCTTTTGGGATTTCCTGGGGGGGAGGCTGCTCAGCCACGCAAGAAATGGACAGTGAAGCCACAGTATTTCTAAGACAAGGGCGACGGGCTAAGAAAAAAATGACCAGGTGAGATGTCAGTTCCCAGGTGAAGAGGCCTGGCTAAGATTGAGAAATGGGGACAAAACACATTTCCCTCTAGAAGTGAACTCACATGTGATGACAGCGGTGCCTGGAACGCTGGGTCAAGGAGGACCAGGAGTCTGAGCCCCAGGCTCAGGACAGAAAGGCCATGGTTGATGGGTGATGCTGTCCTTGGGCTCTGGGAGGGCGAGGCCACACCCACAGGGTGGATTTGTCATCGCTAACTTATGTCTTCTCAAGGACTCAGGCGTAGTATTGATTTGATGTGAGCAGGTGGTTCAGCCAAGTCCTAAACATAGATCTCACATGCAGCATGGTCCCCTTCGAAGTCAGAAGGACCAAGGCGACCTCGATGACAGGAGAAAGATCTCAGGCTCAGTATTTCCTAACCAGGGACTGATTATCCACCCCGCCCCATCCAGGTGGCCATGTCCTCTCAATGACTGGGGCTATTCTGTGTCTAGAAAGAGGCCTACCTTGCCTAGTTTGATAACTTCCAAGCTTCTGAAAGACCAGAGATTATACAGTTGTTATGTCATGTCACTCATTTGTTGGAAGGGAAGTAAATTCCCTATAGGGTAAAGTTCAAAAAGGGTAAAGTTCCCTGCAGGGGGAACTCACACAGTCCTTCCTGGCATACCGGGACCTCACCCAGCTGCTGTGCCATTCCTGACTTTCCCTGGGATGTCACAATAAAGACCTAGCTTATAAATATTTAAAAGATTTATCCCCCTATATCTCTTTGCTTGCTCTAACCCTGGCATTGCATTGGCAACCAAGTACATACTCTATGCTACTACTGTATACATGTGTAGAATGAATGAGTGAATGAATGAATGAATGAATGGAGGAAGGAAAGAAGGAAGGAAGGATTGATATAGGAAACATGCTCTTCTCAGAACGAAGCTTCCAAGAGGAACTAAATTTGTGTTTAGAACTTCAAGGGAAGTAATTCATATCTGATACACTGAGCCGGTGATGTGCGCCTGGCTGAGAAGAGCCTGCCTCCCTAACCCGCTATTAAAGGATTGCCACCGGACTGTTGTGCAGATCTCCTGTTGACTGTAAACAATCAATCCAGGTAAGGAAAATCCCTCTGCAGAGTTCTGCTGGCTCAGTTCAACACCAAACAAAACAGACAGAACATAGCTATTTCCATCTTAAGTAGGACTAGTTAATGCCATTAGAAATTAAGATAAAAAGACAAAATCCTGTCTTTATGGACTAATAATTGAAACCTGCTTCATCAGACCACCCAGGGTTGAAGAGAAAGTAGTTTTTAAAATTCAGGTCTTCTGGAGAGGCTGATTTGAAAGCAGCCATAAATCACACTAATTCAGGTGCCACTGCTGGTTTGCGAACAGACTGGGTCTGGTCGGCTTGATCTCTACAGGAGAAACCTTGTGACCTTCCTCTGGCTGAAAGGTGACACAGCCACTGCTACTGTGCACTGTTGACTTGATTCCATTTAATTACATGACTACAACCACATACCAGGTCATACTGAAATTTCTTAGATATTATAGAAGACTTTGGAGATTCTCAGACTGTTGTTTAGTTTCAAGATGACTGATTGATAAATTTAAGCTAGCATCTATGTAGCTTATCGGGTGCCAAATACCTTTTAAGGAAATTAGACAATACCTCCTCAAGTTAAAGTAGCACTAATAGACGAATTCGGAATGACAAGTAGCCAACTGCAAAGACCTTTATAATAGTGGTAATAATGAAAATAAGTTGTTTATGTGACTAGAGAGTACTTCAGACCTCTTGTTAGAACCAACCTCACAGGCTTTGACTTACTTTTCTCAGAGAGTTGATGCTACTCACAAGCCCAACTGGATTGCATGCACATGGGAAAAGTCTACTTGAGCCAAGGAGCTGGTGTGTGGGTGGAGGTGTGGAAGGGGGAGAGAAGCTAATGTCCTGGGCACTCGGGTGGTTTAGTTGGTTAAGTGTCTGCCTTTGGCTCTGGTTATGATCTCGGGGTCCTGGGATCCAGTCCCACCTTGGGCTGCTGCTCAATGGGGAGTCTGCTTCTCCCTCTACCCTTCTCCCTGCTCATACTCTCTCTTTCTCATGCTTTGTCTCTCTCTCTCTCTCAAATAAATAAGTACAATTAAAAAAAAAAAAAAAAAAGAAGAAGCTAATGTCTTTCCCTTAGGGAACCCGTAGTGTCATTTTAACACTACAGTCTAACCCGCTGAGAAAATATGGCGTCCCTTTAAAATAATCCAATTTTTTCCAGGAAGTTTAAAGTCCTCACTCAATATCTAATAATAGCTTTAAAAGCTTTACCAAAGGGAAGGAAGGTCAGAAGCTGGGAAGGAAAAAAGAAACTCTTACAGTAACCAGTGTCACTCTGTGGGAGTGGGTCCACTCCTCCGCAGAAAACATCCTACTGACCTCCACAAAGAATGAATATAAAACCTCTCCTCCTTTAGTTCTTTTCATCTTTATGTCATAAAATGAAGGAGGAAAAAGAGATCATAATATAATCTTGATGCCAAAGCTTCTCAAATAACTCAGAGCATTCTTCAGTAGCTTGACATACCTGAGAAATACAACCAGGTCACTATGAAGGATTTCAAATCCCCCTCACAAGAGTTGAGGGCCAGAGAGGGTTATAGTGGAAGGATCACAACTTAGTGAGACCCCCCAGGTGGAGAGCAGGAGAGGAAAACAAATCCACATTCTGATCGCCAATCATCTTCTTACTGGACATGTCAATACGAATACCAGGTAATGATTTTATTCACATATAAAAAAGGATATTACAAAACAATTTGTATAAGAAAATGAAAATTTACAAATTTATAAATTCCAGTATGCAAAATAGTAATGATGAAATCTAAATTGATTCAAGCTGGTGACCTTCAAGCAATGATGGACTTCTTTTCCTTTTCTCTTCAAATTTTTTTTTTTTTACTACCATGAACAATAGAGCTTAACTAGGTATTAGCAACAGTAACATTTTATCTAAAGTAGAAAATCTATATTTGAAAAATATATTCCGTATACACAAAATGAGGAAACCCTTGCCTTTACATGGTCAGTCCCCAAATCCTTGTCTCATTCTTGTTGGTGGGTCTCTGTAATGTTTGAAATCACACCAATTCTCACTCCCAGCCCTATTATTACCTGATGATGATTTCCTGGCATCCACATCCTAGAGGCTGAGTTCCTGTGATCGCTGTAGGATATTCCAACTATGGGAAATGCAGATTGGGCTTTTCCTCTCAAGTCTTTATACAGAGTATAGAATCTAACATTATTATATGTTTCTGCAGTAGGTGGTGGTAAAATGTCTTCATCTTGATAAAATAACCCTGGAATTTTCAAATTTAGTATCAAATGAAATCAGCTTTCAACCCTAAGTATTTCCTCACTGATCCAAAGTGATGTTTCAGGGTTTAGGGCCACAGTCTCATTCCCATCCATCTAGCTCTCTCCAGCAAGTGTTTGTCTTTGAAGTTGAAGAGGGTTTCTACATGTGGAAAATATATTCAGGTCACCAGAAGCAGCACAACCCGGGCCTACTTTGATCATCCCTCTGTCAAAACAAAACGCTCAGATTGCAAACAATGGCATACATATGTGAATTACAGTGAAGCCACTCGAGGAAACTCTAGTGTGCATTTTCATAGACATCTTGTGGTCAAATCCTACATATTTTACATGACTTTCCTAAAGGCAACTCTCCTAAGAGCTGGCGACTTATCAAAGTTTAAAAACCATTGATGAATGCTCCAAAAGGAAAAGAAAAGAGGGTACTAGGGAGACACAAAAGATTGTGGGTCACCCTGAGATGATTCTAATTTCTTATTTTGGTTCAAGGAACTGAGGTCACGAGAAGAACCAAGCACAGGCAAGCTAATCCACACATATTAGAGCCTAAAACCATGGGGAGAGAAACCGGTCCAGCTACAAAGAAGAAGGCTCATTAGATGTTCCTAACTTCCTACAGAGAGAGAGAAGCATGGTCTAATAAGTGAGAAGATAAAAAGTCCTAAGAAAGACAGATCTTTTTTAGTTCAATTTAATGTTAGGTAAGAGTGATCTGGGTGGGGCAATTGGGAAACTACGTATTTTAGTGCACTCAAACACAGTGATGTTCGATTTCTTTTTTAAGTGCAAATGTGAAAAGACAAAGGCCAGAGCTGATCATGTAGGTTCACGTAGGAAACAGATAAATCCTGCTCAAGTAATTCCTCTCCAGGGTGTAAAGATTAAGAGCAAATGAGCCATCTTCCGGTTTGTGGCTGAACTGGGTTCATTGTCTCTCTTAGCTGTAGAGAAAATCCTAGTGTGTAAATACCAAGGATGTAAGGGATGGGGCGCCTGATGCCACACTTAAATCCAGCATCACTGCCTATGGCAGATCACTGTGCTGACGAAATGTGCACAGTCGGAGGGACCACTGTAACACTTGGGCGGACTCCAAGAGGGCAGTTATGAACTGCTCTCCTCTAGGCTGCCTGCTTTTTCTTCCCATTCTAGTATGTAGTGCAGTCTCTTAAGACGGTTCGCTGGGTGTTACATTCCAGCAGGAGGGGAACCAGATAAGCGGTAATTTCTAAAGCCCTTAGTTATAAGATATGACACAAAAACAAAAACAAAAATAAACTCATAGGTATAGAGGACAGGCTGGTAGGCTTTGGAGGCAGAAGGAGGGGAGGGGAGGAAAATTATCTTTATAAATTATCACTTTTCTATAAGAGAGAAATTCTGGATCTTCTAAGCTCAATCACAGAGTCAGAAGTAACAAATGCTTCCATATCAATTGCTTTTCACAGAAATATGCTAATCATTGTATCCAAGTCTCCAGGATACATGTGCTAAGTGGTTTTTAACACAGGGTGGTGGGTAGCTCTTTCCCCACCACTTCCCGAGCTCAGGCTCCTCTCATTACCAGCTCCGGCAGGGGTTCACAAGTCAGTAGCTAAGGTTACACGTTCTCCGTTCTGGAGAAGGCTTGCCCTCCTCTGATTCCTAGTCAGGCCAGTTGCCTTCTTCTAACAAACCCATGATTTAGGCAGGCAATATGAAGTCAATTATAACCTCCTAAGCTAATCAGATGATGAAAAAGTGAGTTTCATCACATACAAACACTCATTTTTGAACGCTTCGACATAATAACTCAGGTAACTAATCTGACACTGACTTTTAGTAGGATAATTGGCTACATGAAATTATTCCTGGAGAGAAAGTATAAATGAAAAAACATAGAGTCTGGTCTTCAGTCCGGTAAAACCACATTCACCGTGAAAATAAGCATGAATGCATTTCTGTTTCTTGTTATATGCTCATAATCTCGTAGGCTGCAAACTCGACCCATCAGTCTTTGAAGTCACGCTTGTGGCATAGAAGCTTCTTGTTTAGGAAAGATGCAAAGTATTGTGAGTGCCTGGAGTCTTTCCTTGTTATTGCTTGAGGTTTCAGCTTACAGCTGGTCTGGCTCAGAAGCAACTGGTTGAAAGGCTTAAAACGCCATCAGTTTGGTTCAGATTTATTTTCTTTTCCCCCAGAAGCCGCGCAGGGTCCAGACTGTGCTCAGTTCATAAGCCTAAAGCGGAGGGGCGAGGGCCCGGTGGGTTCCATCCATATGCTTCAACGGCAGAAAGAAGCAACTCCTTTAAGCTTCCTAAAACAGCAACAGAAAGGAAAGCTTGAAAAATAACACCTTACAAGTGAAAACTGCTGAGCTATAGTCTGTGACAATTATTATACATAACGTTTACTTGTCGTACATGTGATTTTAATAACATATGGACAGGTAGTTCATTAACAGTGTTTGGATATCCAGGTATGCACATACTCTGATGATAAAATAAAGATTTTTATAACAACTCACAGTCACTCAGTATTTGCAAATAACACTGCAGAATTGATAATGTGACCCAGAGAAACAAGCGTATTAAACAATGATTCTTTTGCTCATTTTCGACCGCTTTCAAACATTTAAAGCTTATTTCAATGCTGCACTCTTAAAGCAGTTGTAGGCAAGATGTTAGGATCCTTTAGTCCCTTCAGAACAAAGATGATTAATGAATAGTCACATTCTCTTCTAAACTTCTGCTAAACCACTGCATTTAAAACTTCTGCTAAACCACTGGAGAAAGTTTAGAGATAGTTTGGAAATGATTTCTCATCTAATCATCTTCTCTTCACTCTTCCTAGGGCAAATATCCTCAGCAAAGGGGCACGCTTAGAGCTGTCCTTTGTCACAGAAGGGCAGTGATCTAACTTCTGGAGGCATCAGCCAACTGCACGTTACTGCAAATGAAAAGAATCTTCATTTTATGTTAACCTTTCATTCACTTCTTTACCACTAATTTGGCATTGGTGACATATCAGGTAAGTTTACAAATACTTTGTTCCCTAGATCGAAGGGGAGAATCTAGAAATAGAAGCTTCTGAAAGAACTCTCAAAAATCTGAAATAGTTTCATAAAATGTATTGATCAATTGATATGATAGTAATACCCATATGAATGCTACTATGGGAGACAAATAGTACTCATTTTGCTGATATGGAAAAAAAAATAGGGCTTTTAAGAGACCAAGCTACTAGAACCTAGGTCATCTCATATCTTTTCTACCATTCCTTCTATTATTTCATGTTGACATTTTCAATGATGGTGAAAAACATCACCAAAAAAGCTTTTCCTATAAGTAAACAGGTTGGCCTCATTCTCCCAAGAATTTTAGCAAATCATGACCCAAATATTTTAGTTCTATCCCTTTTCTGGGGAGGTGTGTATAGGGAAAATTTGATTGGAAGTGTGTCATTCAGACTAAATAAGGTTCTCACACCTATGTGCTTTATCCTGCACCATAACATCAACATCTGATTCTGGGTGGTCTTAAACCACCCACAAGAAAACTACTGTGTAAAAATACAGTTTTTGGAAACAAATGCATCATGCATTAGCAATCTGACCCTGTAATACAAAAGAGCCATTGTGAATTTTGCAATATAGATGTTTATCAAATCATCACACTGCCATGTGATGTGTCAATTCTATCTCAATAAAGCTGGATAGAAGAAAGGAATTGTAGTTAAAAAAAAAAAAACCCTGAAAATATGAGTGAATGCTTAGGTAGGAATTTCAAGGTCCTTTGAAAATAAGTATAAATAAATCACTAAAGTAGGGGGGGGGATGCTATAATGACTCTTGCAGCCTTTCTGTATTTCTCAAACAGAAATACCATGCTGTCCTGAATTAGGAATGAGCCCATGGACCAAGCTAACTAAACACGAACTCAAGGAACTGGAAGTTCTTTGGTCCATAATACCAAGTTGATGAAAACAAATTCTTTATGAGAAGTAAGTATGTTCTCTATCTTGGAGAATCAGCCTATTAAAAGGAAGTCTGAATTTCCTTTTGGAATCTAATGTATTGACAAAAACAGAACTGTTGAGCTAAATACTCGGCTGACCCTTGAAGCAAAGAAGAGGGTAAGTCTCCCAAGGATGTAAAGTTATATCTCTCTCCTGTTTGCTCTTGAAGATTAAAGTTCACTCACTAAGTATTCAATAAATGCAACCAAAGGCAAAGTGCTTTTCAGAACCTGGAAAAGATTATCTCTTAAAATGGGCTCAAAAGATTATGTGTTGTTTTTAATTATAGGGGGAAAACTGAAATGATTCATGTTTTAAAAATTCCTTTCCAGAATTCAGAATGCCTCATTTATATTTACCACATTATGTAAGAATTCTAAGATAACATATCTTAGAAAGCTAATAAACCTTTCACTAATAAATGACATTGTGTAACTTGAATGTTACATTTTCTCATTCATTTTACATGTAATTATCATTTCTTTTCATGATAATCTGAGTTGAAAGTATCTTTATGGAGATCATGATTACCTTGACAACCGTCTTTGAAAAGAAGTTAATGCCATTATATACACCAATCTTCTACACTAAATGATTTACATTCATATAACTGTAATAATACTGCTTACTCCTGTCCCCATCTCACCAATGATACAAATAGAAAAAGGTAGACATTGAGTCGGTTCTGATATAACTTGGCATCAAGACGTTTCACTCCTTAGTTTCAGAATTTACATCATGAAAGTGGGGACAAGCTACACAATGAAGATGAATGGTAATTCTATTTGCTGACAATGGTCCGAAAAACCATAGATGGTCCCTGGGAACCCAATTCTAGGTCCCTAAGAACTTGTGCCTAAGAACAGATGTGTGGGAAGAGGTAACTAAGACATTTGTGAAAGTAGAAGCAAGTTTATGATCAAAACCAATTGACTTGATGTCAAAGAAACTTCAGCATGTAATGAAATTGTGTCACTGATTTAATTTTAAGAGTCTCTCAAGACTTGTAGAGTACTTGGCAAAGCAGCCGGCCGGGAAATTGGCGTTAGCTGTCTTTTGCCTCTCTCACCTGCTCTTAGGGCCTGTTACTTCCTCCTCTAGGCAGCTGGGTATGCTCAGCCCCCAAGGCTTGTGGGCCACTGTCCATTCTTGAGACCCACACACAGCTCACAACTCTGCTAACTGTTGTCTTTTCTTACTATTATTATGGAAATTACAAAAATTACAGGATGGTTCAACAGAACAAGGTCAGTAAAGGCTCTTTCTCTGCTACAGAGAGATGTATTTTACAATTTAAATGCCGAATTTGTTTGCTTTTCTTCCCTTAACTCTTCATTTCCTTTATTTTGAGAAAAACAAAATTATTTTCCTCCAAAGTCAACAAATGCTTTCTGCATAGAGTTCTCTATGAAGTCTCTATAGAATTTTTTTTTTTTTTGTAGTTGAGAAAAAAAGTACTACAGATTTAGATCAACACATAACCTATAGGCTCTTCTTCAAAGGAGCACACCTCCACTCACACTTTGGCTTCAGACTGAATTGGTTGCTCACAAGCAGTGAGAGCAAGGCTATGCGCGTAGGCCTTGTGGGGCCTGGGAGCCTCACTCTTGCTGACACTCTGCCCTTCTTACACTAAAGGTTGACATCTTTTCAGAAAGAATATATTCCGACATTATATGGGCTCATACGAAGGAAATGCTTGTAGACAGTAAGTCAAATTCAGGAATGGCTATATCCTCGCTGGAAGAGGCATTGGTGACATATAAGGTAAGTCCAGGATGCCCAGGTTTCCCTGATGCTTCTCTGCCTCTCGCCCTGCAGCCTGCCCAAAAGCCCCATATCCCCTCAGTCACCATCTCTACCTCCTTGCAAATCTGATTTCAAGCCCTTTCTTCTAGAAGGTTATTATGCAGTCTTTGGACCCAGATCATGACTGACAATCAATTTCTAACCAAAAAGATCAATGAAAGCAGAGCAATCTCAAAAACATCAGAAAAAGAGAGGGAAAGGAGAAGCTTGGGGAGATCAAAATTCCCAATAACGACGGTGAATCAAGCGATGGTGAGGAACTGTTTACAAGATGCTCCTGTGACTAACTCATCTCTCTCAACCAGGAACGTTGCTGGGGGTGCTGTGCTAAGTACCTGGATTTACAAGGAGTAAAAGGATGGAGCTCATTATGACCAGAGTACCTATGCATTGAAAAAATAAAACAAAACCCACTTGTAATTTAATTTAAAACATATTCTCCATCCATATAAGACCAAGAAGTTACGAAGGATGGAAAAACTTTCTCATTAGGTCCCCCCACCTTCTATGGTGAGAGGAGTTCCATCCCGTTGGGTCTGTCCTGAGTCAATGCTGTGTCTTCATTGAGGCCAGTCACTGCCTTACCTGCAGGGATGTCTGAGTGGACAGGTAAGTGATGTCACCACTCTCCTGCCGTAGCTGGCTTCTGGTAGTCAGTGTATTCTGAGTCAGCACTGGTTCTGTCGGGGGGCTGTTACGTCTAGAGAAATCAGTAGTTTCCGTAAAGTTTTCAGAATGCTCTGGAAGGGCTCCACCAACCAAATCCTGGCTACTGTTTGAATCCAAAGATGATGAGCTTTCGTTCTCTGGACTGAGAGAATGAGTTTCTTCTCCGGGGAATTCAGGATACGAGTCACAAAAAGAGATGTCATCACCACAAATGGGATTTTGCATCAGAGGCCAGGCGTCTGAAAACTCACCACAGATGGACCTTGAAAGAGACCCGAAGAACGTGGGCATGGTCTCCCCTGCTGGACCTGTGTGTCTGAACACACATTCAAAAGATCTTTAAGTCACCTATGGGGAGGAAAAACACCAATACAAAGCAACATGCCAGCTCTGCTTTCAAGTTTTCTAGATGCAACAACAACTGATTACGTCAGAATTCTAGTGCTTCCTTTGCTATAAACTTGCTTCCACACAAAAAGTTTAATTTCTCCACTTACTTTAAAGCTGAATTTTTATACCTACTTCTAATCAACATAGTTATACTTAACCCAATGTCTAAAATAGGCAGTTTCCTGGGTCTTAACTGAGTTTCTTGATGGCTATTCTAAAATTCTATGAGTAAACAATAGGTTACAAATTACTTAGAGATGACAGAAGTGTCACAAATCATGAATATGAGACAAAAACAAAATTAATGGAGTGTAGAGTATAAAGAATGTCGCACTGGGTATCAGTAACCCCGAGAGACTCATTTACCTCTTGCCAAGGCTTTGTCCCCCTCCGATATCCAGAATGTCATTAATAATATTTTGTAAATGATGTCTCATAGTTTGACATGAAAAGTGCTAGATTAGTAGAATGCATATTTGCACAAGGGGACATGCATTATATGGATTAAAAATACCGAGTTACCTCTCCTGAAGAGTGGCCTTGGAATGCACCCTACAGCCAAGAGTCACCCGGTCCCCGCTGCAGGCCTCATCACAGCACAGAGATGGAATCAAGTGGACAGGCCCTAGGGAAGCCAGCAGAGGTGTGAAGCACAAGGCTGTCTTCTGGGAACTTTCCTTTAATACCGGCTCAACAGTGCTGGAGAAAAGTCAGCTATTCCCCTTTGGGTGACTCTTTGGGGAAAGGAAATATGAGGTTTAATTCTCTCTCTTTTGGGAAGCCTGGGTGGCTCAGTGGTTGAGCATTTGCCTTCAGCTCAGGTCCTGATCCTGGGGTCCTGGGATCAAGTCCTGTATCAGGCTCCCTGCAGCAGGGAGCCTGCTTCTCCCTCTGTCTGTGTCTCTGCCTTTCTCTGTGTCTTTGAGGAATAAATAAAATCTTTAAAAAAAAAATCTCTCTTTTTTGTTATCTTACAAAAATGCTAAAGCACTTGTATGAAGTACCTCGGGCAGTCAAACCCAGAAAGGCTGAATGGTGGTGCTGGGGCTGGTGGAAAATGGGACATGGGGGCGGCAGGTCACTTTACTGGAGATGGAGCTTCAGTTTGGAAAGATGAAGGGGCTCTGCCGATGACTGGTGGTGATGGCTGTACAACAGTGGGAATGGGCTCAGTGCCACTGAACTGCACACTTAAATGATGTTAAAATGATACATTTCATGTTACATTTTACCACAATAAAAATAACACTGAAAGGTAAGGACACAGCCTGTGAAAGGAATGTGAAATGAGACTGTCCTACATCACTGACAATGGTAGAAACAAGAGCATATTTCTGCTGAGTGGACTAGCAGTTAGAACAAGAACATAAACACATTCAAAACCCTTAACACACACAAACACAGACTCACACACAGTTATTATTATTATTTTTTACTTCTAGGAATGTGATGTAAGGAGCAACTAGATGTGTACACACATCTTTACAAACCATTTTGTTCACTGAGGCAGCATAGATGTTTGATTACAAAGATAATATAAGCCTACTGAAGAAAAAACATTTTTTAAATTTTTTTAAACTTAAATATTTTATTTATTTATTAATGACAGACACAGAAAGAGGCAGAGACACAGGCAGAGGGAGCAGCAGCTCCCTGTGGGGAGCCTGATGTGGGACTCCATCCCAGGATCCTGGGATCACGACCTGAGCCAAAGGCAGACACTCAATCACTGAGCCACCCAGGTGTCCCAGAAAAGAAATTAAAAAAAAAAAGAAAAAGATTTTAAAGAGAGGGATTAAGATAAGAAATTTAAAAATAACTATTACCTAACCTCATAAACTGGAAATATACACTATCAACATTTAGTGAACTTTTCTCTCTGTATACACATACATATATAACTCTGGTTTCATAGAACCATATACATACTAAAGCATACAAATATAGAGACACACACAGAAAGAGAGAAAAAGATGTGGAGAAATTATATATTTACATATACATCTATATGTTTATGTGTGTAACCCAAGTTTTCATGAGTAATTCTCTCTTTTATCAAAAGGAAAAAATATTGTGGAATTAATAGTTTTCTTTTTGAAAATGAATGTTAAACATTGACATGCATTTGTGAACCAGTGTGAGGTAGGATGGATACCTGCACACATTCGCCTAAATCTCTCTCAGTGCGGGCCCCACCTTGTGCTAAGTGAGTATATGTCACTGTGCTGCTGTGAGCATGGGGAACTTCCTCGGATCCACGGCCAGTCAACTCAGCAAGCCCATGTCACGCTCACCGTGAGACATTTCAAAATTATTTAAAAGCAAAAGGCACTGCCTTTCCTTTTCAAAATGACTGTTTCTAGGGCTCAAGCAGCAAAAGTGCAAGATGAGCCTGGAACTTATTTTGTGTCCCAGAAATTAAGAAAGTGCTAAAAGAATAACTAGGACACGTCAAAATGACACATGACGCGGCATGAAGGGACATGCACTGGCCAAACCTAGGAAAATGTGAGCAACAACGTAAATGATGATAGCAAAGGAGCATACGCCGTGGAATAGAGCCCACAAGTCCACATTAATTCAAATAAATAAATGAGGAAGAAGTTCTTTCTTGCTGTAGGAAGCCAACTAATAAAGGTGGAGAGAATGATGGAATTACAACACAAGCGTTTGTAACCATCATCGTAATGACTGATTCAGGTAAGAATCATCAGTGGATGCTAAACTCCTGGGCGAAAGTTTGGAGAGTTAACAGGGTATTTACATATTTACATAGTCTTAGAGAGTCTCCTGCAAGGTACTGATGAACTACAAAGAGAATAACACTAACGTTACAGCAGAGAAACCTGGCAGGTGCCACCTTAACGAAGGGACCCAAATTGCCCCGACCAGGAACAGGACAGCCACACATGCTGTGCCTCTTGATGAGGGACACTGGAAAGGACACAGCATCACCTCTGCAGTATTTCTCAATATAGTCCTACAGAAACATCAGGCAAACCCAAACTGAGGGTCATTCTACAAAATTACTGGCCTGTGCTTGTCAAAAATAATAATGTCACGAAAGATTAAGGACCTATGTCAGATTAAAATAAGGTAAAGAGATTTGACAACTAAATGCAACAATGTCATTTGGGATTTTCTTTTACTATAAAGGACATTTTTGCAACAATTAAGAAAATCTGAATACGCTCTGTAGATTATACGATAGCTTTCATTTAACGTCAATTTCCTGATTTTCATAAACTGTGCTGTTCTGTAAGAAAATGTTCTTGTTCTTTGGAAACAAACATGATCAGTATTGAGGGGAAAAGTAGATCATCATTTGCAACTGATTTTTAAGTGGAGATGGAAAAAATGTGTATAAGTACATATATCTCTATGCTACTTAGAAAAATGTTAAAGCAGATGTGGAAATGAGATAAAATGTTATTATTAGGGGAAACTGGGTGAAGACAGCGTCAGAAGTCTTTGTATCATTCTTTCAACATTTTTTTAAGCCTTAAATTATGTCAAAGTAAAAAGATAGAAAAAAAAAGGCACTGCCATAAAGCAGGAAACCACATATAAGTGGTCAGTTATCCTGAACCTTAGCAGGGCGGATTCTTTCTAGGCTTGGCATTCTGTTAGGAGGATGTGCGCCAACGCCATCTGCCTATTTAATCTTTCTTTTCGGATAGAAGTTAAGAGGAGACAGAGTTTGCCCAAAGCTGCATTTTACTACATTGGAGTTCATCTCTCAGGAAATTATTCCTGCCCTCTCAGACCCCAGCCACGCTGTGCCAGCACAGTGTCTGGGAACCCTAGCACTGGGGGTGTTTTGAGGATCACTCAGGTATTGTCAAGACTGTCTAGAAGTCTATTACCTACATAGGCAAAGGCAAAAATAGAGCCACACACACCACAGAAAGTCTTGTATTTTGTTCCCAGCCCATTCCTAAAACAGAAGGCAGTAATGAGCAGTAGCAAAATAAGTCTGCTGAAAACTTCTTACTCCACATATGGAACGTTAGATCAGAAAATGGAATCCTGTAATTTCTTGGTAAGAACGACTGGACAGTTCCAAGAGCGTCAGTCAATCTAAGTGGATTGAAACACTCAGCTTCAAGAGCGGCTCTGAGAGACAAAATGGCACTCTCGGCATTGCTTTAAAGGTGCTATGAGAACGTAAGGCCAGGCAGGAAGGGCCAGACATCTAGGAAGGCTGCTGCCATCCAATTCTACTCTGTAGAGGAGGTGAGGGGTCTTCACAGTGGGGGCCGAGAGGGAAGTGTGTTTTTTTTTTTTTAATTTTTATTTTTTTATTTTTTATTTATGATAGTCACAGAGAGAGAGAGAGAGAGAGAGAGAGAGAGGCAGAGAGAGAAGCAGGCTCCATGCATCGGGAGCCCGATGTGGGATTCGATCCCGGGTCGCCAGGATCGCGCCCTGGGCCAAAGGCAGGCGCCAAACCGCTGCGCCACCCAGGGATCCCAGAAGTGTAAGTGTTTGAACCTCATACTGATGAATATAAGTAAGTGGCAGAGAAAGTATTATCTTTGCCCATTTTTTTGCCCTGGTGAGAAACCAATTTCCATTTGCATGACTTCCCTAAACTTCCTTTCGGCCAGTAGTCCCAGGGGCAACTGAGGTATGTGTAAACCCCTGCCATAGATCTTTCCCCCTGCTCTTCTTTATTAATGTCCAAAAAGACATTAACAAGACATATCCAAGTTCAGCTTGAATCCACCAGACAAGACAAGATATACACTCCTACTCTACAAAAGGAGGATACTATTTTCAATCAGTTGGCCCAAAACAATAAAGGTAAACTTGCCTTAAAATGTTGCTGAACAATTCTAGAATTTTAATGAGATGCTTCTGTTTGATACTTAAGAGGTTCAAAACACCCAAACCATTGGGGGACAGAGAATAATTTAACAAGATTAGCTTTAACTAGAAAACCAAGCAGAGCAACCTAGCTGTGGGACGAACAAGGACAACTGTTTGCAAGGTCTGTGTCCCTTGTGCTCCCCGAATGGCCTCTTGACTGGTTGCACTTACCACAGGTCTGGGCTGTGTCCCGGTGGCACCGACAACATGCTCTGGGAGCAGATTCGTTGAGCCGACGTCTGTCAAAACATGACAGTTCAGAACCATTGTACTGAATGTCTTGTGCTCTCAGAGACCCTACAGGGGGCGAGAATTCCGTCAGTGAAGACCATCTCCTCTATAAAGACCAACGAACACCTTAATGCAGACAGGCACCCCTCTAGCTCTTATATTTCTGAAGAGAAAGACAACCATCGTTCACATTTAAAAATATTTCTTCTTACATGGAGGCACAAATAGGAATTAATATGGTAAAGCTCAAATTATAGAGCATTTCTGTTGCCAGAACTTGGAATGGCTTTCATTTTTGCCGGGTGGCAGGGGATGCTGCTGCTTTTTCAATGTCCTTATAAAGTGGTGCCTCTAGGGGACCAAGGGGCTATGGACTCCCTTTCCATATCCGCTCTGTCCTTTTATAGCTCCTGACTGTTGTCCCAGTCAAGGCCTCGTGGACCCTCTGGTGACAATGATGATAAACACATTTCACCCGAATGCTAACAAACAGAAAGAGCTCCAAACTCACAGCTGGGTTTTTTCTCCATAAACTGCCTCTTACAATAGATGACACAGAGGATGAGCAGGGCCAGCAGGACAGTGGCCAGGGCGCTGCAGATAACGGCCGCCAGGGCTGTGTCCCGCGGGCTGGAGGCCGTGGATGGGATCTTCACGAGGTTGACCTTACTGGTACCTGGAAACCACAAGAAGGGGGTCACAGCAGGCTCTCAACAACCTCGGAGACTCTGATGCTTACACTTGACTTGAGGGTCATCTTTAATAATAGCCTTCATGGAAGGTAAGTCAGACCCCAGAAAACAAGAGGAGGTATTCTAAGAAGGCTCAGTGTTCCCTCTTCTTAGAAGATCTCTTTAGCACTGCACCTTCACCCTGCACCCCAAATGTGTGGATGTGCCACTCCTCCTTTCCCACAGCCCCGCGGACACACAATCCTCAACACATTGCATTGCCTGAATGTTCTTTTAGGCCCACTAGACCAGAGCTGTTTGCCAGCTGGAATTCCTCATCTTTCTCCATCTCCCAGTGCTTGACACAGCATTTGGCACATAGTAGGTGTGTAATATTTGCTATTTGATTGGAATTAGACTGCCTACATTTTCAAACACACTGACTTAAGGGATGCTTTTTGGGGCAACTTTAGGGAAAATAAGGAGTGGGATCATTCACAACCTAATTGTGACCCCCAATCTCTGAGACAGTGAACATTTTTTAATGCCTGGCTATTGAATTACTGAACATCAGCTAAATTTTAGAGAAAAAAAAACCAAACAAATACTATTTCTATACTATGGCTGGGCAGCACAGTAATGTATTAAGAAAGTGTCAAGAAAGAGATTCTATTTTAGAGGGAGGTATTGCATCATGGTCAAGGACTAAGGTTCTGGAATCTCATTGCCTGGCTTAACCTCTGGATTTCTAACTCTGAGCCAATTATTCAATCTCACAGAGTATCACTCGCACCTCTGTTCTATGGAGGTAATAATAGGATCTGTCTCACCTGGCTGTTGAAAGAATGAAATGCGTTATATCAGGTGAAGCATGTAGAACAGGCCCTGTACTCGGTGCTCTAGAACCACTGATTGCTGTTATTAATCATGATGATATAAGTAGCACTTAACTTTCTTAGGGTACTGGGAGGCATGAACTCACTTAAATTAGAAATCTATATTAAGTGCAGTCAATTCATAACCTACTAACTAACCTGAGAAGAATCTGAGAGAGCTTGAAGCCTAAACAGGCAGTTATGCCTTTTCCTCCTCTGGGTACCTGCCCTGCAAGATGAGGTGGGCCCTTCTGCTCCCTGCAGATGCTCTCACTTCCTTAGTGCCACTCAGTGGGGGCTCCTGCAAGGCTGAGAGTTGCTCCAGATCACTGTGGCCTGAGAGAAACATAACATGTGTCCCTCGTGTAATTTGAAGTTTTCTAGAAACCATGTTAAAAAAAGTAAAACAGATCCCTTTCACGAAGATGGCACCGAAGGCGAAGAAGGAAGCCCCTGCCCCTCCCAAAGCCGAAGCCAAAGCAAAGGCTTTGAAAGCTAAGAAAGCGGTGCTGAAAGGCATGCACAGTCACAAAAAAAAGAAGATCCGCACGTCACCTACATTCCGATGACCCAAGACCCTGCATCTCCGAAGGCAGCCCAAATATCCTCAAAAGAGCGCCCCCAGGTGAAACAAGCTTGATCACTATGCCATCATCAAGTTCCCCTTAACTACTGAGTCAGCCATGAAGAAAATAGAAGACAACAACACACTTGTGTTCATTGTGGATGTCAAGGCCAATAAGCACCAGATCAAACAGGCTGTGAAGAAGCTCTATGACATCGATGTGGCCAAGGTCAACACCTTGATCAGGCCTGATGGAGAGAAGAAAGCATATGTTCGACTGGCTCCTGACTATGATGCCTTGGATGTTGCCAACAAAGTAAGCTTCCTTTTCTGTGAACTCACCCACTGCCTGGGTCCAAGTGATGGCTCTTTTGGTCATCAATAAATGACCAAAACATGAAAAAAAAAAAAAGTAAAACGAACAGGTAAAATTTATCTATTTTACCTAACCCAATATATCTTAAAATATATTGTTTTCATGTAGTCAATGTACAAATTATTAATGACATAGTTTACATTCTCTATTTGTACAAAACTTTCAAAGTCCAATCTGATTTCACATGGACATCACCATCTCCTTTTGGACTAAGCACATTTCAGGTGCTCACTGGCCACATACGGCTAATGGCAGTTGTATGGATATCACAACCCTAGACATTAAAAGTTTATATCTCCATTTGTGCAGCGTGGCACCTAGATGCAAGCCAATTCATTATTTGGTACCTTTCTTTCTTCTCGTCCCTGGCTACACATCTCTCCAATCCCATCAGACTGATTTCCACTATATGACACCTGAGGCTAGAATCAGAAATTTCTGAGCTAGTAATATTGACTGATAAAAATAGGAAAGCAGGAGTGATCATCCAGGAACATCAAATTTTGGTATTTCTAGGCTCAAGAATTCTGGAGCCACATTGATAAAAGTCTTCTATTGCTACCCAGAAGGCACCTAAGCTATATGCCTTGGGCTTGGATGATTAGGAATCACAATCCAATCATACATGTTAAAAGATATTTTTTTGTAAACATGTTTCATATTCATAAAATAGATTTACCACTTGTAGCTATATAGACATCCTATAATCATCAAACAGCACAAACTGAAGTGCATCATACAGCAAGTTAAACAAATTACGTCCCTGACCTGATAGAGATTAAATCTAAATCTGAAACAGCCTCTATCAGTGGACAAATTCACAGGAGGATGTATGAACACAGGCACAGCTGTACAAACACTGACAAATCAATAACCGAATAGGAATTCATATCCCGAGCAAGGGAAATAGTAGGCTACCCCACAGGGTAAGGGATTTGGGAAATGGAATTCTTATCTGTTTGGACCAAATGGTGCAGTTGTGGAAAACTGCCACCTTGCTTATGTTTGTGAAAAAGGTGGTTGACTCCAGAGCGAGATCAGCTTAAATTCTTCCTCAAATAAACCAGCTCCACACAATGCAAGGCTTTAGCAAGAGCTATTGTCAGAATGCAACACAGTACATGATTTGAGGTGAAGATCTCAAAGTTCCTAACTGTTGTAACTACTGAATTCAGCTCATTCATTCACATGCTACTGGATATTTAGGAAAACCCTACTAAGAATTGGGACTTCCAGTTAAAGTAGAATCATGATTAGCATTCTTTAAGTTCTTGTTTAACTTCTTTTTAAGTATATTAGTCAACTTATGTACCTTCATACGAAAGGAACTTTATAAACATGCTAAAATACCTCCGATGGGGATTCTGAATCTGGTGGTTTGTGATTCAAGATCTATTTTCCCCAAGTGAATCATAAAAGTCTTAGGAATAAATATCTTTCCATGGTAGGGTACTAATATCGTAATCTCAATGATATCCAGTTGCCATAATAACATCGATTTTTTTTTAAGAGTGCACTCAGTAAAGCCCCTTCTCTCTACATCTCCCTGGAAGTAGCATCTGAAGATGAACAAGAAAAAACATAATAGTTTTACCTCTCAACGTTTGACACCTAATAAGAAAAGGTCTCAGAGAGGTCTCCATGGGAAGCAGGGCTCTGGAAACCACATTCTGGATTTTTGTTTATATGTGCAAGTTTATGACAACAGTTACAGCAAGCAATCTATTTTATAGAAAATGGGCTCATCATTTTTAGGCTCCATCATCACATACAGAAATGCAGACATTTATGTGGACACTATGGAAGACTGGGCTATCATTTAAGAACCACTAATTCACATAAATTTCTGCTAAAAGCCTGTTTCCTTATAACTCTTTTTGATTTGAGTAGAAAAAAAAAATAAAAGGAAGGGAGGGGGAGAGAGGAAGGAGGAGGTATCAATTATATGAAGTGGCTTCTACTCTATTAAGTTCTGGTTAATTGAGGTGTTGCTGATGATTTCTCAGAAAAAGATTTCTCTACTACAAACTAAAAAATATTGTTTTGCTGACCTGTGACCGCTACAATGATACTGAGGTTAAAGATTCTTTCCACCCACATGCCTCGACTAAATTCCCTGTCCATAGTTGACCAAGCGTATTGAATGCCTGCAAGGAATTTTACCCGTACCTTATTAGGATTCTGATAGTACTTCTAAAGAACAGAGAACAGGAATGTTCAGTCTTTGGAAAGTTTTAACTTTTCTGGAATACAAAGGCATCGCTTACCCTAATTAAGTTATTAAATTCCACTATAATCTTAGCAATACCCTCCGGCAAAGTTACTTCAGAGTGAGAACTGTTTTCTTAACTTAAATTTTATATTACATTAGATAAGTGAAAATTTTATGTTATACATTTCCTTAGGAGTTCGGCCTAGCGGAACAATGACATACTGAGTACCTAACTGTGACTAAGACATCCTATAAGACATTAAATAAGTTGAATGAGAATCTAAACAGAAGAAGAGGAAACAGAGGTCACCAACAAAGTCTGGTAATCATTTTTATACAAGTCTTTTACCTTCTTCGGAGTGTGACCAAGGTGCAAAATATCCAAGTTGCAGAGATAGTCTCCTTACATCTTACCCCCTAAACAGCTTCAGAATGTAGCTGGAAAGACACATATCATGGAGAGGTCTATGTTACTGGACCCTGACCAGTCAAGGAAAAGTCTTAAAAGATTAGGAACTCAATGTGCAGGCCACAGACCTGACCAGAATGAGCTTCTGTAGGCTTTGGGTGCTATTCTAGCCCTGGACACTGCTAACAGACCTCCAGGGATTTCATTCCCCTTGCAACCAGGCAAAGCTGTGACAATGCACTGATGGCCCTCATTGTATAAGATGAGAAAACCAAGACTTAGGGTAGTTTGCTCAAGGTTAGACCACAAAGTAAGATGGCTCGAGAACTGAAACCAGGCTTTGGGATCCTCTCCAGTGGGCCATGCTGGCCCATGGATGCATGTAGCTTCTGAGTGAGTAACACATTTTGCCAGGAAAAGATTAGCAAAATGTGGCTCCTGTGTATGTGCAGGCCATGCCCACTTCTGCTGGGAGAAACCAGCCAGGTCATGGAGAGATCAGGGGATTTTCTGAATGGCAGACTGTCCGGCTGTGCATGAAGCCAGTTCAGCATGAGTGCATCTGCCC